AATTAGTTTTTAAATTAAATTTTATTTAAAAAAAAAAAAAAAGTTGTCCATAAACTTTTGTCCATCCTCTGTATATACAGTATATTTTTAATTAATAATTTATAAGAAACATGTTAAATATTATATTTTGATTGATTAATTTACAAGTAGATATTATATTGAATAATATTTTTTTTAATTGAAATATATATAATAAATAATTGCTTATAGAAAGATTTTAAATTTAATTTCTAAAACTTTGAAAAATATATAATGAATATCTTATATATAGTATATAAATTATATATATATAAAGTAATATATTTTATATATACAGTCTGGTTCAAAAAAAACTGAAATAAATTTTATTTCTAATTTTACTTATAATTTAATAACTAATTTTATAAATAAATAAATTATATATATATTTGAAAATATAAAATCAAGTTTACTTAATAAAATTTTTTTAAATATAATTAATAAAATATTGTTAAATTTTAACTTAAAAAAAAATTTGTTTTTAAAAAAAGCAAGAAAATTAAATTCATTATCAAAAAAAATAACAAAAAATCATTAAAATTATTTCAATATATAAATTTGTTAAAAAAAGAATATGTTTATAATAAATTGATTTTTATATATATATTTTTTATTAATAAATTTTTTGGTTTATTTTACAATTTAATTAAAATTTTACATAAAATTATTATAATAAAATTTGTTTATTATAAATAAAATAGATTAAAAATTTTATTTAATTTAAATTATTATTTATCAAATTAAAATTTTAATTCTGAATTTTTTGGATTGGGCTGTATAAAAACAATAATATTAAGACATTTTTCGCATTACATTATGCAAAATGTAATGAATGATTTGGTGGTAACGCGAGAAAATCAAATTCTCACGAAATTATAAGAAATTACCGTGTAAAACGGTTTATAACATACAGTATGCACGAGTAATTATATAACCAATTTGGTTTACAAGAGTTTTACGGTGATTCTTATTTGTAAGAACAATACCGTAATACGTAGTCTGGATCGCCGAATAGAAGCATCAACCAATTTTTTTTCGTCCAAGAATTTAATTACTGATCATCAATATGAAAAATAACAATCATATCTTTTGAAAATACTAACCCGAAATATGACATTCTTATTATTAAAAACCTCCTTTTTATAAGTCAACCGTGGTTCGCCGGGGACGATCAAACACGTATCAATATAAAATAATTGTAATCGAAGAATTAGAATTGCACTACAAAAAAGAATAGCGTGATTTTACATTTTATATAAGCATTAAGACTTGAATGTTTTGAATTGAGATTTTTTGTTTCGTTTTTTTTTTTTTTTTTTATATTTCTATCCATTCCTTTTTTTTTTTAATTACATTTATCAAGTCGAAATTTAGAGTTGAGCTCTTGAGAAAAGAAAAAAAAATATTCATCATAATAAATAGAAAACGGGCATGCTATAAAAAATAGTAATAAAAAGAAACATATAAGCCCGTAATTATGAATCATTGGAGTACGTTCGTGGTAACAGTGGTGTTTTTCGCCATAATGATGGCGAATATAGACGGATTGGTGTATAACGTTTGCACGAGTGGTAAGGAACTTTGTAGAGTGAATAAATAGTATTTTATGAATAATGCCGAGGAAATTCGTGTGATACCATATTTTACACGTTTGTTTGTAAGATCTAACCGATGTTTTTTATTATCCAAAATAAAAGATGGTCCCCATGGTATAAATTCTCTCCTTTCACAGAATCTCTCATACACTGGCGTTAGCATGAAAATCCTAAAAATCAACCCATCGGGCAGTCTCAACATCCAAGTATCATCTAAAAAGAAAATCAAAGATATCGTATTATGGGCAGAATATAGGGGAAAGTCCGAGAAGGAACAACACATTGGTACGTTCAGGTCGATCGTTGGGCATGCTTACTTAGAAGGATGTGATGGGCCATACAATTCAACGATCACTAACTATAAAGATCTTGATAACAGTAAGTTATGAAAGGTGGATTTTCTTTTTCTTCGTAATTGACAAGATCTCATACTAAATACCTCTCGAATTTCCAGCCTCACAAATAATATATGAATGGGATCCACCACCAGGTACAAAAGTAGTTCTTAAGCATGGTAAAAAGAAACCTCACCATATACATAAAAAACCTTTTCCCGGAGAAAAGTGTCATAGACTTCATCATCACCGTCATCATCATAAAGATCATCATAATAAGGACAAGAAAAAGCACAAAAGACCTCATCACGGGAATTACAAAAAACATCACAAAAACAAAAAGCATCATCACCACAATTCCCATCATCATCGTATAATCAACAAATTCACATTCAAAGGCCTGGCATTCCTCGAAGGTGAATCCGTCAAATTTCACGTGTTCACGTTGGACAAACCAATATACATCAAAGGAAGGTTCTCCCCTTTGGACACGTCTCTGACGGATCCTTCTACATTGTCGGAAGGAGAAAGTACGGATACCGAAGTGTACGTTAGCTCGTTTGATAGTCAGCCAACATCAAGTTCGCAAAGCAGTAGGAGTTGGAATGGAAGAGGATTGACGGCGGCGATAAGTTTTTTGATAACAGGGATGCTGATCTTGTAGAATTATCATGGCGACATGACAACTTTTTCTCTTATTTACTGTAAAAACACGACTTTCAATTATAATTCCTTCTTTTAATTATTATACTAAAGGTCCTAGGACTTTATTTGTAATTTAGAATTTAGTTTGTAATAGGTTAATTCGCATTTTCTATGTAGTTTAATTTAGAAAATATTTTATACTGGTTTTCATCATTTCTAGTTCCTTCTGTCATCTTGATCTCATTATTTGAAGCTCGTGTTGCGAATAAAAAAGTCATACCTAAAGCAACCTGCATTGGTTTGGTGAGAAAATAAAATTACTGTATTCATATAAATGCTTCATAAAAAACGTTCTTGCATAAATGCTGTTCATTTTTTACAACTTGATATGATTTTTTTTTTATTACAATAATAAATTAATTCAATAATAAATTAACTCAATAAATAAATACAGTACTGCCGTACACTAACATCTCACATTTTTCGTACCAAAACTCGTGCTTTGGTCAATACATTTTTTTCTTCGTCATCCTTTATGACGGCCACCACCGGAAACGCACAGATTTCAACTTCAAAATTTCCGGGATCCCCATTCCAAATTCCTTCCATAGCTTTGGTATCAACTTTCCTACCGCTTTCATAAAATTTAAACAAGGGTACTGGATCTTGTGTATTTAGTTTGAAATAAAAAACATTTAAGACTTGTTGAACCAATGAAGCTGCTTTTGATGCAAGTTTTTCGTTCCTTTCTTTTGATTCGATTGTTCGATATTTATCCATGGATGTCAACAGATCCCTAACAACTTCCTGGATGAACGGGTGATTCTGGCTGGTGAAACCTCTGTCGCATAATATTGCATAAATTTGTTGGCGTAATTTTACCGGTGAAACGCGTAAGTGATCCTCGTCGCCGCTACTTGTGGATTCGCAGAATCTTTCTAACAAATTGCACAAGTCATTTGCGCGTAATTTTATGCCAACTTCAAGCCTCTCGTCTGGTATATCAGTAAGCGTGTCTAATTTATTCTTCGAAACATTAGAATAATGAAGGTATTTTTCCGAGCGTTGAGCGATGATTTCTAATATATGCCGCTGTAGAGTTGCACTCAAAACATGCTTCATCGTCTTGTCATTGATTGACGTCTTGCATTTATAACGCTCGAAAAGTTCGGAAACTGCATCTTGATGAATTTTTACATCATTTCCCTTGATTACTGTGAAGCTAGACAAGTCTCGTTGAAGCTTTTCAATGTCCTTGATCAGTTGCCCCAGGTTGTTTGGCTCTTCGTCGCACCATCCAAAATTCGCGACACCTCCAAATGCCATTTGACACTTCGCCGCCTCAAGCTTCAATCTTTCGCTTTCCCTGTGTAGAGCCATCGTGATTTCTTGTTTTCCATTGAGCCTCTTATTATATGATCTATCCGACTGACAGATATTATGTTTTTTCGGTGTGTCACGATCTTTGGCACCGATGCATTCATAAATTTTTTTTTCAAATTCAAATTTTTCTTTAAGTGCTTGCTCCGTCTTTTCTTTGTTAGCTTTGAGGATTCTGATTTCATCGATAAGCTCTTGGTTCTTAGACTCAAGGCCGTCAAGCTTCCTTTCCAGCTCTTCCTTATTCATTTTAAGAATCATAACTTCATCGATCTTCTCTTTTTCCTGTCTTTCATAATGGGCAATTTTTTCCGCGTTTGATTTGTCTTTCCAACGGGAAACGTAGATCGCATATTCGGAAAATGACCTCACTCGAGATATACACATTGAACGCAACAATTTTCTTTGGAAAGAGGTGAGACTGCTCAGGTGATCGATTAGATT